ATAACTTTTTTGAGATTGAAAATTCCACAATAAATACATTGAAAGCAACACACAGATATATAATAAATTCTGTTTTACCACCAGAGCAGCAGTTATTGCGAAATCCATGTCGGCCATCGGACCGCGTGGGCCTTCATAGATGGCTACTCTCTTTTAAATGTCTTAAGAGACTATTACAAGAACACACTTAAAAAAACAGACAATGGACTAACTCTGCATGTTGGAAGGGATTCCTTAACCATTGGAAGTATGTGGGGAAATTGTCATTTACCCCAGGAAAATCTGTTTTATAATACTTTTCCTGCCAAAATGAAGAGTTGTCATCCCTTTAATTACATCATGGTCCCAATATTTTTACCTGGAATTCTTGATAAAATATATAACACCAAATTTGCCTTTAACTGTGCTTTAACTGAGAAGTTTACATTTCAGACTTAAATGCAGATGTCTGAAAAAATTCTGTATGTGATAACAATGTATTACTGTACTAATATAACTTACTGTGTTCAGCTGCATATACAGACGGCTGGTATGAGAATTAGTAGCTCTAAATATACATAACTACTTAACTGCCAACTGAATTTGTTTCGTACTTCAAAGAGCCAGACAAACCAACTGTTGGGAAATACAGCCTTTTCTCATCGTCTCGCAATTTTTCAGAATCCGTAACATGACAAGCAGGACTGTCTACATATTTTCCAGTCAAATGTTTATGAAAATCCTTACACTTGTGAGGTCTTTAAAAAGTGGTTACATGGTTACAAATCTCATCTTGTGCTGTGCAGCCATGGAGTCTGTTTCAAAAATGAATTCACGATGTTTAACGTAAAGAGAAATTAGATTAGAAGCAGAGGTTAAAAGGAGAGATCATGTATTTGTAAGTTGATGACTGAAGTATAATCACTGAAATTTAGACTCACAGAAAATGTAATTTTCCTCAGTGTACATGTAGTAGCATACTCTATGGATTTACAAGTTTTCTACAGAACTGTGACCACTGAATGTTTTGAAGTAGCATTTTCTAGCTAAGGACCAGATCAAAGAAGGGCACAGAGAAAGCACATACCTTGCTTAATAATAATAATAATAATATAAAAATTGCAATTATTATTATTATTATTATTATTATTATTATTACTATTATTACCACAGTTAGTATATTGCATGTGATAAGAAATAAGGAAATAATCTTCCACATACACTGTACTATATATAGTCAGATGCTCAGTTTTCACCATTCCTCAACGCTTATTAAGAAATACTAAACATATTTTCAAAAAGTTTCAAATGAAAACTGCACCATCTAAATATTCCTAACTATTGAATTTTCTATGTTGGAAAAGTTAAAAACTTTTTAAAAATCAAAATGCTCATTATCAAATTTCATATACTGTATGTAGCCAATGTACTGCTTGGGGGTTGATTGTCAACTTTATTCTAGTAAGTGTGTAAGTATGTCCGTCCTGAAATGAAAGTTTTAGTGTTGAGGTCCCTGGGCAGCTGGCTTCTTCAGACCAAGTTGTCATCACTCTCTCACTACACCAGTAAAACCATACTTTAAAGAAATTCAAGTTAAGAATCTGGAACATTCCTAAGAATGCATTCTACAAAAGAGCAGAGTCATTTCTTAAAAGCTTCATATTTTTCTTTAAGTCACAAGTTAGCAATTATGTTAATGTGAGTTTTTATGTAAATGTTTATTTGTCTATTTCTTTGATTGTTTGTTTGTTTGTTTGTTTGTTTTTTCTTCCATTTAAGTATCATCAACATTTCCATTTTCCTCATGTTTAGAACAAATTTATACCGGTAACTTACGCCATTTAGATTTGTTAATTTATCTGAATGACTGGTGGTCAAATCAAATGGTGGGTTTAGGAAACAAATAATGAAATCCGAATTAAAAAAAAATACCCACAAAGTTTTCATTTCACTCAAGTATGTGACCATTCAACACCAACCTTAAAAAAACTTTTGTCTGTTTATTTGGCAGAGTATCTATGACTTTCATACCACCTTTAAAAGATGGCCACTATCTCCTAAATTTGTGTAGAGACTAAGTTCAAAATTTAATGTTCATGTAGTATTGGTACATACTACATAAGGATTATGTAGTTTCCAAGATAAATTACTTTAATGCTCTTTGTGCCTGTGAGGAGAGAATGATTTTCAAAACATCTGCGGATGAAATAAAAATCAATCTGTGAATAATGCATTCTATCAAATCAAC